CTGCCATTTTTTTTCTACAGCAGTTATACGTCCATTTCTGTAATGACTTATTGATAGCTTTTCTACCTCACAGGAAAGTCCCAATATTGATATAATTCTACATAACCACCCGAATTATATGTGTAAATTATACCCAGATGCTTGAAGCAGTGATCATCAGGCTGATGTGAGGATAAATCCCATTCTATATTACATGAAACTTCCTTCTCAATTGCAAACAATAACAAGGTTCTGTTGCTCCTGGGAAGGAAATTAATAGTTGGCCGATTTCAAAGACAACTGAAAGCAGATTTTAAAATACCAGGATATTTTTATAGATGATTAAATGCAACCTCAAATTAAATTTATACATGTTACTCAGTATTACTTTTTCTCTGGAAATAATATTAAACCATTCTCTCTGTGCCAAAAAAAAAAAAAAAAAAAAAAAATTCCAAAATGCCAATCTATGGCTAGAAATGAGCTACAAAGTAGCCCAAATAAAAGCAAACCTTGCCTTCTGTTTTCCTCCTAGGCAATAAAAAAGCAAAACCATAATGGATCTCATTATTCTATTGCACAGAATGTTCTGTTCATTTTTGAATGAAAGCACTACTGAAGAAACTACTCATTCTACAAGGCTGGCAAAAAATCCAAAGGGAAGCCAAAACCTTATGACAGACAAGATTGTTATACACAACAGCACGAGTCATGAATTGCAGCTTGGGAGGTTCAGACTGGATGTTAGGAACAACTTCACTTCTGTCGCTGCCCAGAGAGATTATGCAATCCCCGTCCTTGGAGTTTTTAAACACTTGCTCTAGACAAAGACACGGAAGACCAGTGGTGGTGATAATCCTGCTTTAAGAGAAAGACTGGAGTACGTGATCTTCAGAGGTCCCTTTCAACCAACGTTTATATGATTTCCATGATTATTTCTTGAAGTTAACTCTCCAAGACAAGACAAAGAGGAGCAAAATAACAACAAAATTGAGTAACAGTCAGATTGCCAGCATAACATAAACCCCTCAAAGTTTCTGAGTAGTAATAGCCTGAAAGTCACTGAAGTGTATAACTTAAAAAGCATCATCATATCCAAGCATGCCCTTTCACTGTTCTCTGCTAGGTGCTCACCCACAAGGACTGTTACCAGCTCAGGCACAGTTTTGGATGTCAGCTCTATGTATTTGCTCCATACCTGAGATAACAGCCTGTTCCTGAGTGCCGTCTGAGTGACTGAGCAGGCAACAGTGTGTGTGCAGCAAAGATTATCAACTCTGGATCAGCTCGAGCACGGGCAACCAGGTATTTTGTACTGCATTCCTACCGATGGGAAAATTGCCTTCAGATGCCAAGCCAACTCTGTGGATTTGGATATATTAGAGTTTAGATAGATGAGATCTCTGTCTTGGCAGGGTGGAGCTAGACTGTTCTGGACTAAGATGCTCCTGGAACAAGTACAAAGGCAGTGATGGCATGCTGTGCTGGAGTTGCCTTTGTACTCAGCCAGTTCGCTATCTCCACATGCTCTGGACCACACGACCATTTCACCTCAAACATTGCAGTCTAGAACTAGCTTGGGCAAGTAAGTCTGAAAAATCTATAAATTCTCATTTCGTAAGGTAAAAAGAGTATCAGAATTACGGGGGCTACTTCTTATATGAAGGAACGTTTCTCAGTTTTTAAAATCCTGCTCAAATTTAAATTCACTATTCTGCAGACTGGAATTCAATAAGGTCTATTTCAAAATATGATTATTTTTTTTCTTCAATTTCTAAAAGGAAACTTTACCCAAGATATAAGATACTAGGGACTCGGTAGGATGGCCCGCATCACCCACTTCTAAGGAGCCTCAGAATGAATCAGAACCCAGTTTGGGACTTTGAGAATGAAATAATGCCTCCTTGTTCTGAGCTGCTGCCTTAGTGTGAGTTTTTAATGTCTTCAGAAAGTGTTAAAGCTAACCCATTTCAGCTAGTCCCATCTGCTGCTAAATGCAGTATCAGTATTTTAGCTGTTAGAAAACATATCATAGAAATAAAATTCAGTAAAAAAATAATCAAAATGCCTTTTTTTTTTTTAGAGTTGTTTTACCAATGCAACATTGTATGTGCTGTATTATTACAGTAACTTCCATTGTGTTACTACTAAGATGTAGTAACCATCTGTTAGGACTAAAATTACTTGTTTAAAATATTATAAAAATTTTGGGCATACACCTAGTATGTAATCAGTAAGTCTGTATAGATTTTACTAAATTTAATTTTGCTTTATAATATGCATGAACCAGAATATCTGACATCTTCACAAGTCCTTCTTACCCATGCCCTAATTATGTAGCTACAGCTCTGGAAAAAGCAGCAGATATTTATATGGAAATCATCTAGCAGACTGGGTAGAATCACTATCTAAAAGCAAGTATAGAAATGCAATGGAAATTCCTATTTTCTCACCAGAGGTATTAAAAATTCACTTTATAGAGAAACACCACATTGTGTTTCAACATCTAGCAAGAAGTGACAACCCTGTCCTTGTTCTTACTACTACAAAGTGAAAAGAAGCAACCAAATGAAGCATGTACACTACCAGCATAGTAATGTCTTGTTTTAAAATTCAATGCATCTTTTAAACTTTAAAGGATAAAGTGCATGTACTACTATTTATCAATCTGGCATACTTTTTTCTAATTCCCACATTTTCTATCACCATTTCCTGAACAAACAAATAAAGAAGAAGCAATGAAGCAGCTAATAATTACTACCAACATTGAAAGGATAAAGAAATATTAATTCTTTCATGCATAACTGTTAAAATCTGTCAAGATTTCATGTCACTTGTGAAATTTGTGTGACCAAAAGCTCAGCTCAATAGTATTGAGCCATGAAATGAAACCTTAGAGAATTCTTTTTGCAAGTGGCATTGAACAACTTCACTGAAAGGATTCTTTCAGCCAGCTGCTTTAATGTAGTTAGCAAACTTCTCAGTTTAAAGACAGTCTCTGCCAACAAAAAGATATCACGTTCATGACTGAGTCAGACAAACAAAATATGTCATGAACAAAAGTTTTGTTTATTTTTAATCTCAGCTGGTTTTTGAGTTTACTTTTCCCATTCTCAAGCAGCCAACAGGATTTGTTTTAGATAAATTTGTTTAAATTGTGGCAGCTCGGGAAAAGCAAAAAAAATGTGGCTACACAAAAGAAAGCGTAAAGATGATACTATGCAAGATGCATACTATCTACTATACAAGAAACTTTTCATCTGAAATGTAACAGCTGTCTCTGTGTACTTTTTAAAAAACTGTAGCAATTAAATTAACAATCACTGAGTTTTGACTTGGCAGTTTTCAGGTAAAGCTATTTATCTTTAGCTCTCTCTTCCCAAGAAAAGGAGCCCAAATTTAGAAATAATGAACAAATAAATGTGCTTCCAAAACTTGAACAAATACAATGTGATTTTGACACAACATTAATTAGGGTATGATATAAAACCTGGAGAATTGACAGAATCACAGAATGGTTGAGATTGGAAGGGACCTCTCGAGATCATCTAATCCAACCCTTCTACTCAAGCAACCTGCTAGAGCAAGTGGCCCAGAACTGTGTCCAGTTGGGTTTTGAATATCTTCACAGATGGAGACTCTATAGCGCCTCCTCAAAGTAAGAAATGCCTTCTTGTCTTCAGACTGACTTTCCTGTTTTTCAGTTTGGGCCCATTGCCTCTTGTCCTGACAGAGGGCACTACTAAGACAGTCTGTCTCCTTCATTTCCTCCCATCATGTATCCATACACATTGAAAAGATCCCACTGAGTCTTCTCTTCTCCAGGTTAAACAGTCCCAGCTCTCTCAGCCTTTCCTCTCATGACAGATGGTCCAGTCCCCTAATCATCTTTGTGGCCCCTTGCTGGACTTGCTCAAGTAAGTCTGCATCTTTCCTCTACTGGGGGCTGCAGAACTGGACACAGTATTCCAGCTCAATAGGGAATATTGCATTTACTCTGCAAAATATGATCATAACTTTGAAATTAAATTTGCAATAGCTATCTGTTGAGCAAGTAGGGTTTCACAGGTAGCAAAACTGTTCCTGAGTAAATAAATGTAATGAAGCAAGAAGATATAACGATGGTGTTCTCTTTGGATAGTAAAGGCCAAAGACAAAGGTAGACGGGGAAGCAGAGGAAGGGCAGGATCAAAGCCAACACAGCCTCAGGGAGAGAACAAGGGAGTAGCTATGATAATCAAACTCTCAAATCCAGCTATTACTTCAAATTGGGAAATGTTGTTTTCCTTCTCTTGTTCTCCTTAGAGGAAGGTATCTGCAATGGAAAGGTACCTGGATGGAAGGTATCTGGATATATTTTAATAATGGTTAATGTTGACTACAGTTTTCATTTAATGACCAAAGCTGATTAGAAGCAGAGTTTAAAGAAACCAGACAGTATATGAGTTTTTCTTAAATTATTAAGACATATTCACAAAAAAATTAATTTAACTTGCTTGGATTCATTAAGAATGAAAGAGTAAAACTAGGTCTCAGAATCCTTCTGTGAGGAGATGAGCAAATAGGACTCAGTTATTTGTTCCAAGTAGTAGTAAACTGTTTAGTTCAGGTGGGGGAAAAAAACCTCAAGACCAAAGACTACTGAAGGACAAATCATCTTCATGTATGATTATTAAATTCCAGTATGCTTTCCTTGTCATTTAAAAGAAATAAAATCAATTTTTTAACTTTTATAACAAAGAGTGAAAAAGAGAAGAAAATTAGTTTCTGCTACCGAAAAGATAACATTGAAAGGAAAAACAGGAAGATTAGTAACAAAGCATAAGAGTAACAAAGCAGATAAAAAGGTACATGTTAGTGAAAAGCAACATCAGTTTTACTTGGCAGTAAATCGCAACAACTTTGAATATTTATTTAAACATGTAGTAAGCCAAAATATAATACCTGCTCAAAAGTTCAATGATATTCACTGTCAGAGCAATTTCATTTAACAGCACACTGTGCCTCAGCTTCCTTTTTTTCTATTTATCACCAGTTTGAAGGATACTCAGCAGAAGAATAATATGTGATTCTGCAACAAACTGAGCCTGACTGCTTCCATGTATGTAACTCTGTAAAATAAAAAAGAAAAATAATCCTCTTCACAACAAAGAAATCCATTGAAAATGGCACAACTGGATATGTGAGAATCAAAACAAAACCTGTTTTGCAGAAAAATACAGACAGCAACAGCTACAGGTGAACAGCACAGTTTATGTATGTTTGTTTAGTAAAAAGGAATGTTAAAGCCAGCATATTTAGGCAAAGCACATATATGCAGTGAATTTAATGTTTCATATATAAATGCACTATGCTGGACTCTTTTTCATACTGCTGCTAGTGTAGAATAAAGAACATGCATTTATTTGCTCAGGAGATACTGTTTTTGAGAAGGGAGGTGATGAAATCAAGGACATGCCTCAGCATGATTTTGACAAAAATTAAAACTGAACCTTGCCTTTAAAAAATCAGTCCATTTTGGTCTTAGACTGAGTGAAGTTTCTTCATTCAAAGTCTATTCTATCTTTCTCCACGAAGGTACAATTGTGTCCATAAAAAAAGACTAATATATAAAATGTCTTATTTATATGGAATTGTAGTAAATGCCATCACAAATGTTAATACTAAATGCACACATAACATAGTCTACTTTTTTTTCCCCAAAAATAACTATTGTTAATGGGCTCATTTTGTACTTGTATTATTAAGAACATACAGCATATTATTCAGAAGTTGTTAGAGTTTATTGTTAACCAGCTATAATAGCAAAAAAGGAAGTAAAACTTTGAAGGACTGCAAACATGCACAAAACGAGAGAGATTTTCTCTCTTCCTCTACTATATCAATTATAAACATTGCGTATAGCTTGTCATACAATTCTATGTGAAATTAAATATATCAGTGTTCTCAAAGTATTATTTATATGTATTCTTAGGCATAGATGCCATTTTCACCCCAAATAAATAGAAAGAAAAACGCTCACTCCTATTAAGATAAAGGAAACTTTTTGCCCTTCTTATGGATTCAGGGTTTTGTTAGTTTGTTTATTTTTTAACTTATGCATTTTGCTTTAATTCATTCTACTCTGAATAATTCTGCCTGAATAGCTTCCTTGTCAAGATTCAGAACAATCCAGGTTTGAAATACTCTGATGGTTCAGCATACAAAAGGATGCCTTCATCCGCATTGGTTAAATTCTGGTTGATGCACTGTCAAAACATGAAGTTCATAAGATATGATAAAAGTTTTTACTCAGTGGATGGTTATCTACTATTTTCAAAATTCAATTACATTATGCTCATTCAAATAACCAATTCAAAGCTAAACCAGGCAAAAACTTCATGTATCTAAAGATTCCATCTCTCAAAGACCTCTTTTTTCTTTAATAAGATAAAAATCTCATAAGAATATCTCATTGCAGCATGATGTGACAATGAGTCAATCTATATTTCTTGATTTTTTGTGGGACTCGTTATTAATCTTACTAAGGTTTTATATGTATACACACACGCATATATATATATAAAACAAAGGAAATGGGAATATTTCACATCAACAAAAATTAATGATGAAGTTAAAAATAGATTGTGTACTCTGACTCAGTTGTGACCATAGTCCTGCAAATAGTGACCCTCTGTCATTATTTTTCATGCAGCTAAAGCAAGATACATATACGTAGGCATACAAATACACTTGCCAGATCTGGATTCAAGTGTGCCTAACAAATGGTAAACATCTATTTCTTCTTACAATCATAGCACTAAGATATACTCAAAAGCTTACAATGATTTCAATACATACTGTATTTGTTAATACTATGTTGCTGAAATAAAAACCCGAGCTTTTCATCAGAAAAGTATAACAGGGTCTAGTAGCACTCTCTAGTTATTAAATACCTATATGCATTTATACATAATCGTTACTACTCTTTCTCTACACACATGCTAAGTTGTATAAAAATGCACATTGTGAAATAAAGAAATATATTCTATATTGAAGAGACATTATTATCACCAATTAATAAAACTGGTTGTCATATGACTCCTAAGGCTATAATTGCCTTCTGTATTTGTAAAATACTTAGATGAGAAATGTCATTTTTATTGACATGCTTTATACTTTAGCAAAGTAAATTATTTTTCTCTTTCTCTTTATGGTAGCAATTAATTCACCATAACACCATTGAAGGAACAGAATCTAAAGTACATACATAAACACATGCAGATGCAGAGACTATACAGAGAAATCATTCATTTCCTAAATAAATTGTTTAGCTTTAATCCTAATAGGGAGGAAGACTCTCACGTCCAAAAAAGAGAAGATCTTACGCTACTGTTTCCGATGACATAAATCTGTCCCACACTGAGGAGGAATCACATTTTAGGTGCTAGTCTTCATCACCCAGCATAGTAACTTTATTTAAAAAGATCAGTCAAGTTTGTGTGACTTCTGGTTTCACTTGGGAATATCAAATAACTACAAAGAATTTTGTTAATGAAACAGGTCAGTTTCATAACTATCTGTCAAACCCATACACTAATGATGTTTCAAAAATACCAGCACATATGCTCTCAACTCCGAAAATTTCCAGCATGATTTTTCACTAGTTATTCACACTTGAAAAACTGACTGAAAAATTCTCTCTCAATCTGAGGATGATCAGAGTTCGCAACAGGTACACCCGATTTGCAATGCTGTACAAGCAGACTACTTACAATGCAAAGTTGAAACACCAGAAAGACTAAAAGCTATAAAGACTAATTAGATTGTGAATGTTTTTACATCATATTCTGATTAAAAAAAACTTAAGTCCTGTCTATCTGAGAAGGGAAGTTCTTACAGCAGTGGTACAGTGATTTGATCTAATGTACTAGCGTGGTTGGTATCACAATGCTGTAACAAGAATATGCATATTGGAAAGACATTCTCAATCAGAAATCTTTGCCTGCCTCTTTAATTTCCAAAGTAATTAGTTTTACTGCATGATGTAAAATATGTATATTCGTCTCAGGATTTTTTCATTTGAGGTTTTTCCAGGAGCTGTTTGAGAACCTTTCAAGGTATGAAATGCATCACCAAACCAGTCTCTCAAAAAGGTTAAGTCATTAAGAAGACAAAATTATGAAAACAAAGATATTCTCATTATTGCTATTAATTAGGTGACAGATAGAGTCCTAGCTACCACCTGATACACAGTATAAAGAAAAAACCATGGACTAGATACAGTTTACTTGCAAATGCTGAAACTCAAACCAATCAAAACCAAACAACCCAAAACCTGGAATAAACAAAACCTGTCTAGAAGACCTGAATCAGAGACTGTAATTTGAAAACTAGCTGATGAATATGACTTTCTGGCTAAATGTTTCATAGGGATTAATGTTGTAACTACATTTCTTTAAATGTGAGTTGCTAAAGGCACGGCCTTGCTTGCAAGGAAGTGGATGTTCTTTGGTTTGTTCTATTACAAATGTCCTTAGATAGATTATTCTTTAAAGTTACTGAGTAATAAGTGCAAGACTGTTCCAGTGGCGAAGACTAACCAAAATAATTTACGTTCAACAATACAATGTGAATCAATTGAATTTATGATCACACTTCACCCTACTTCTAAGAAGGAATGGATCTTAACCACTTCACGAAGGAATTTTTTCCACAATGAACTTTCAGACCTACGTTCTAAACAACAGACAAAAATCAGCGTAGAAGTTTCTAGAAGACCAGTACTTAACGTAAAAATGATGGCAAGCAGCTTTTCTTGAAGAGAGAATACCAAGAACTGTGTGGCATTTGTCCTTGT